CCGGGAAGACGTGGAGCAGATGGTGAGCGAGAGAAAGTTGGGGTGCTAGAGACGGAAGAAGGTAGGGACGCTGATGGACTGCGGTAAGGGGTTTGTGATGATGAAAATGCAGATGATGTAGTTTGAGACCCGGAGTGTGACTGTGGTGCTCGTGGAAGGTGATCGCCTCGAGCCAGGAATCCCGTGTCACTTCCAGCTTCGTAAGTGACACTGCGTCTGACACCGTCGTCAGCCACGAAAGAAAATTTTCCATCAACATTGAGGTTAGCGTCAGCAGACTCAGAACGTGAGTGATCACCAGCGTCGAAGGAAAAAGAATAAGAAGGATCTGAGCTTCCAGTACTTCTTTGGAAAGACACGGGCCCTGCTGGGGTACCTGAAGGTGTGCTGAAGGGACGAGATGGAGCTCCTGAAGCTGTAGATGCTCTGAAGGAGGCAGAGGATGCTGGAGAAGTAGGTCGCAAACTAGAAGAAGGGAACGCTGCAGGAAAAGAGGAGAGTCTGGTCGCTGCTGGAGTGGACGCAGGAACTTCTGGTGCCTGCGGTAGATCGTCACCCTCGACAACAAAACCAGTGCCACGACCGGCTGTGTAAGTGTAGGTTCGTGTGCGACCTTCTTCGTCAGTGTAAGTGTAAGAGCCACGCACATTACCGTCTGAATCACTTTGTTCGCTACGTGTCTGACCTTCTTCAGCGAACTGGAAGCCATATGAGGCATCGGCGTTTGGATCAGCAAGGGGGTCGGTGAATGAAGGGCGAGCACGAGCCTCAGCGTGGGCACGAGCAAAGTCAGGATGCGGGACAGGGAGATGGGCACCCTTGGGCTGGAATCCACCCTCATCAGCTACATACTGGAGGTGAATATTGTTGCCTTCAGGGTCCCTGTAGCCGAAGTTTCCATCTACCTGACCAACCCTGGATGAACGAGCACCCTCGAAGGCTCCCTCACCGGTGTCATAGCCGTACTTGAAGGTTCCATCAGCGTGTTGAACATAGTACTGGGAACGTCGTCCAGTGCCCACATGCGGAATTTTGTAAGCACTTTCGTCGGGCCGAGGCGAACTAAGCGTGCTAACCGCTAGTGCGGACAACAGCGCCTGCAACGGAGATTGATATTAATCATATTCTGTTCATAAAAGATAATGCATATATAAAGTGAGAGGAGACTAAATAATGAATATTGCATTTTATATCTGTTCTGATCACGGTGAGCCATATCTATTCCTGGAAGTTTCATTTTGTTTAATCTGTCGGTGAACTTATTGAAATTCTAGAACCTCGATAGGCATTTATTTCGTTAAAGCTTTGTTTTTGAACTTATTTTAATAAGAATCTGCATCAGGATTATAAATGAGAAAAGTCTTATCTGCCCCTGTTATTAAAGCAATGAAACGAATAGGAGCAAAAACAATTATTGTTGATGACATTTATCAGCATTCAGATGCAGACACTGATTGACGTACAAATACCAACACTGAATATGTTCTAATTAATTATAAATTCAGAAAACAATATTTGCTCCAATAGACGAAGTAACTGTTATACAGATTAAAATCTTGTAGCTATACAGATTACTGCCAAGCTGAATATTACAAAATGTTCTGCATCTATAAGAACGAAGACAACAAATATATAAAGGCTTAAAGATCAAGAAATAAATTTAAACCAACCAAACCTTCGGACAACCTAATGTCTAATTGGAAATCATCAAGGTCAACGACGAAAACATAGAGATGAAACATCGAGATAAAAACTAAAGAGCCCGTGTATAACTACTAGAGAGAAGTTTTGTGATTTATCAAATAGTTCACAACTTGAAGCCTCGGTAAAGAGGTGTATTAAAGCGTAAATGTAGATAGTAAGGGTATAGAGTCCGAAAAATATTTAGGCATCAGGAAGAGGTAATATAACAGTAAGGAGAACTCGTTAGAAAACTGTGCTTGCTAGTGAAACTAACCACAAACAAATATTATTATGAACATGGAAATATTAAATTATCGTATAGCAGCATTAAAGTACGTGCAACCCCAAACAAAATATTCATAAAAGTTATACTCAAGAGATTAAATAAATGTATTCAGGAAGTTAGAAAATCACGTTGTTTAATGGTGTGACATCTAGCAAAGAGTGAAGATCCCGAGGAATGCACTGGTTGTGGGATTGGCAGGGCATCCAGCCAGGGTGGAGGGGAGGGAGAAAATGAAGGAATACGTTTAGAAGACATTAACTTAAACATAAACGTAAGAAGACGTGGCCGTCAACCTATGTGCTGGATGGAGTTGTCTTACCAACAACAAGAGTGAGACACCCAAAGGCTTGACGAGAATGACGGGGGTCTTTCAGGGTCACATAACCTAGACGAGCGAGTAAGTGTTTATATTTATTTAAATTAAAGGTTTAAGATCTCTTTTATCGCCATCTGCTAGTAATTGCAAGAATCAGCGCAACAGTCAGTCAGGGTTGTGGTGGACATACCAAGCTAGTCCAGGGCGCCATGGTGTGGTGGGCGTGAGGGTGAAGACGGTGTGGTGGCCGGAGGTGGTGTGGTGGATGTGTGTGCTGTTCACCTCTTATATACCAGATTCTCAGGCATGATGGCGGTCGTCCTTGCTCTTCTTGCCCGTTATCTTGTGTCGCGCCACTGACTGATCCGGATTTCACCCCGTCTTTCAGCGCCAGCAATGACCCGTGCTAATCCTTCTCTTGTTGGGAGGCTTTCATGATATTTTATTTTTTCACTTTGCGGAGCTAGGTCAATGAACGCCTTACCTGATATTTAGCAATTGGAGAAAATTTCTCTAGCTACCTCGCCCCACCTACGTTATGTGTTCTTCACTGCAGCCTTTAAGTCAAACACTCACTAACACAGCCTAAAGATTCTTGATTCTAGGTCATCTTTGAATAGTACAATAAATGTCTTGAGTGATTATGAATTGGTCATCAGCTGTGTAAAAGCGAAGTGAAGAAATCTTTCAGGGAGTGAGTGAGTGAATCAGTCAATTAATAGTGGGATTTAGAAAGGCATTTCCTGTAGCTGAAAATATTTAGGGTTTTTCAAAGTAATTATAATACTTTTGTCGCACACATTTAATGCTTTTAAGGAAACGCTGTTAATTTGCATGTGGTTAACGTGAACATTATTTCACTATTTCATCGTAGAAAATAACATATCCTCTAATCTGTACACTCAAATCTTGATTTTCGCATTCCTAATGAATTAATCAAATCAGCAGAGGATATTTATCGACTAAAACTTCGTATTAATTATCATAAGCTGGTGAAGTCATAATATATTGACTACATTCGCCGAAACAGGAGTTAGAAAAGTCTATCGTCTCCTTCTCTTCCCCCAAAAGTAAAATTTCACAATAGTTTGAAAAAACAAACAAACAAAGTTTGTTGTGTTATCATTTAACATAAATCTTGTGTCTGTAGTCCATGTATCATTAATTCCTGAAGCTTTCTTCCAATATGAACATAAGTAAAGAGATGAAGCATTAGCCGGCTATTGTAGAATAGCGCGTGTCTTATCTCAGGCTTCGCCATCAAGTGAGCGCAGGTAAAAAACTTCAAGATGTGGTATAGGTTTCTTAAAACTTCAGTATTTTACTCAGGCGACTAAGTATCTTCCTAGTTTATCATTTATTCGAATTTATTTGAAATGCCACACAAAATGAGCAATATGCATTGTGTATAGGTATAGTTGCGTGATTAAGACGTCAATGTACTTCACGTTTTTGTTAAATAGTAATAACTTTTCGGTTTTAGTGTTATAATCTAATGGTAAATATGCTTTGTATCATATAAGAAGCACTGACTATTATAAAATACCAATAATATATATGAATTTGATTATGTTAGGATAGGTTAGGTTAGTATAGTGTAAAGGCCTGGGACTTAGGGATGGAAATCCCTTACCAGACTAATGAGGATCTTAATAAAGGAAAGTCAAGGACCATGGTTGTCCGAGGAATAACAAACAACCGTTTGTGATCTCTTTACTATAAAAATATAACACAAGACTCTGACACCACTCAATAAACATCAAGTAACAATTACGGGAGTCAAAGAATTAATGCAGTAAACAGTTAATGGAGTCAAACAATTAAGGGAAGCAAACAATTAAAGGAAGCAAACAATTAATGGGAGTCAGCAATTAAAGGAATCAAACAATAGAATCAAACAATGAACAGATATTTCTTTCGGCAGTGGCCCTGGGGAAGGTTCTGGAACACAGTGATCCGCTCTTGGGGGGGGGGAGGAAGCGTCCGTTCAACTCCTCACTCGAGCGACAGCAGCCGATGTCTTGATACAGCAGACGAAACACCGGGGCACAGACGGTGGAGAGGACCTGGCGGTCGTGGCGGCAGCTGTAGTGGTTGATGTCTAGAGAATTGACAGTTGATAGGTGAAGGTCTGGGAAAACGGCCCACGAGTCCAGGACCTATGATGAGATCACAGCCAGAATTTGACGAGCAGTGGGGTAGCTAGGGCTTCGACAGGGAGTTTGAGGAGGATATTTTAGGTCAGTTGCAGGACCATCAGCACCTGCTCCAGCCGCTCCCACGGACTGACTTCACTAGACTGGTGGACGGAAGCTACCTGACGGAGCGCATAGTTCCTGCAGATGTGTCAGCCGTCATAAAAGGGTTTAAAAACAAATCACCTGGTCAAAGTCACATTAACAAGAAGATCCTGGCCCAACTCCCCGACAACATGATAGAGAGGCTTGCTCATATATGCAACGCCTGCCTCGCCTCTGGATACTTCCCTAAGATATTCAAAATCGCCGTTATTCGCCTCATACCAAAAGCAGGTAAGCCTCCAAGCAAAGTCGAAAACTTTCGACCAATATCGCTGCTAGAGATACCTGTCAGAATCTTCGAAAAAATAGTCAACAAGTGATTGCGGATGTATCTGTAGGACGAAGACGTGCATAATCCCCGCCAGTTCGGCTTCCGCCAGTACAAAGGCACATCCACCGCCATAGCTCAGGCCTACGAGCAGATCGCCAATGCCATGACTGGCCGCCTGCAGTGCAATATAGTACTGAGGGACGTCAGCAAGGCGTTTGATAAAGTTTGGCACGCGGGGCTGCAGTATAAGATCATACAACTGGGGCTTCCCGAAAATCTGACGCGCCTGCTGTGCAACTTCATTATGGACCGCAGAGCCAAAATCAAGATGCAAGAACATTTTGGAGAAGAATTGTCACTATCGAGCGGCGTGCCTCAGGGCTCTTGTCTCCCACCAACCCTTTACACACTCTACACGGCTGACCTGCCACCCCCAATTGTCGGCAGCGAGTACTTCATGTATGCCGACGATGTAACACAGATCGTCACCTGCCCAGGTAGGTCCACAGCAAGGATGGCGCGACTCACTGCTCGGGCAATAGAGGAGATCTCGGAGTATGAAAATAAATGGAAAATAAAAACAAACAAAACGAAATTTGAGGTCATACCCATAGCCAAATTCAAGCCGGCCCCAATGATAATCGACGACGAAGAGATTGAGTACTCTAAACAAGGCAGGTTGCTCGGCTTCATCATTTTTCGGAAAGGCATCATTCCCCACATGAAGGACAGACTAAATAAAGCCAAAGTCGCCGCAGCCAAATTAAAACGTTTTAATTTGATGCCTGAGAAGATACAAGTTCACCTGTACAAGGCGCTGGTGAGGCCTGTGTTGGAGTACCCATCTATACCACTCGTCACACTCGGGAAGACTAGACTACAACAACTACAGAGTTTCCAAAACAAGTGTTTGAGGTCAGCCAGTGGCCAAGCGCCACCCTACCAGGAGACAATGGAAACTATCCACCTAAGAAATAAAACAGAGGCCCTCAACTTCAGGTTCCATCGCCTAGGGAAGAAGGTTTGGGACAGGGTCCTGGACGACCCTCACAGCCCAGACCACCTACGCGGGGAAGACATCAACGGAGGTAGACCCCACGCCTGGTGGCCCCGGAGTCTGCCCGCACTACAACAACCCAACCCGCGATCCATCTATGTCCGCCACAGTGATCGACCTTAGATTAAAACTTAGATGATATAAATTCACATTTAACAAGTCACAATCAAGTGAGTCCATAACGTAATACAGTATAAGATGTTAATAAACTTGTAATTGTAAAATCAATCTAGTCATTGTCTACTAAAATAACCATTGTGCAACCTCATTCTAAATCCTAGGTTAGCTTAGTTAGCCAACAAACTCTGTAATATGTAAAACAAGGGGTGTCGTCCCCCTCTGTTTAACTCATTAAACTTCTTTTCCAACCTTTTCCCCCACGACTATATGTTGTGACTTCTCCATCCCTCATGTCTGGCTGTGCCTTGAGCCCCAGCATGCCTTCCAGCCTTTCCCCACCTTAACCTAAATAACAAAAACAAAAGGTAGCCGCTGCCGTTCTCACCTCTGTCCAACCCCCTCATGTATTGGTCGCACCAGCCTTCGAGAGAGCAAGCAGCGGTAACGAGCAGGAAGATCGTTTCCGCCCTTACAGATAGGTTAGGTTACGTTGTGCACTGTTATACATGTCCTCACTGTAACACTAGATATATTGGCTGCACTATAAAGTTGTCACAACACAAGATTTGTGACCGTAAAGGTGTTTCATTACGAACACAACATCCACCTAGTAGCCATGCCTTCACCATTCAGGATTTAAAAGTACTATCATCTATGTCTTCCAGGACGGGCCTGGTAATCCTGCAGTCCCTTTATACTTCTAATGGTAAACCCATCCTAAACAACAGTTCTCCCTTTGCCATGCGTAAGTGGGCCTTTGTGGTTTGATCTATGGTTAAACAGTCGTTAGTACAATTTTCTTGATATTTTTGGTAATTATGTTATTATTTTCTTGTCTAATTATCCTCATTAAAGTGTTAGTGTTATAATTGTAGTATATGGTTTAAATCTCTATCCTTTGAATTTTGTATATCAATCCTTCATTTTTCTCAATTATTTTATGTAAAAATAGTGTGTATTAAATCCTAATAATATTTGTTGTTTATTTTATCAGCCTTAATTGGTCTTATATGAGTTAATTTCTTTAGCACTGACGTTGGACAGAGAATTCTTCGAAATATCTGGTTGAAAGATGAAAGGTATAAGTTTTCGTATTGGTGATAATTTTCCTTATAAATATATATCATTATCCTTATCATCAACATCAATATCTCCATCATCAACATTATTATCCTCATCATCACCATTATTATCCACCATCATTATCCTCATCAATTTCATTATCCTCCTTTTCATCATCATCATCATCATCATCTTCATTATCATCATCACCATCTCCTTCATTATCCTCATTACTATCATTATCCTCATCCTTTTAATCATTATCTTCATCCTCATCACCTATATCCTCATCGTCACCATCATCGTACCCATCATTACTATCATTATCTTCCTTTTCATCATCAACATCATCATCATTATCATCATCATCATAGCCACCCTAATTATCTTCATCATCATCATTATCCTCGTCATCAACATCATTGTCGTCATCATCTCCATCTTTATTCTCATCATCACTATCATTATCGTCATAA